AGCTTTAGTAGAGGTTTTACGGTGCTAGCAGCTGCATAAGGTCATATGAGCGCCAGGGGTGGATGTCAACAGAGAAGTCCTTACAGGGAATCAGACTTACTCTGCCCACCTTTCTAGCTTCAACAGCACAAAGTCTGCTTCAACTATCAAGGCACCCGGAAAAAGCGGGCCACAAGAGAGTGACAAACATACAAAAGAATTATAGGAAACTGAAGATAGTAAGGATTAGGACAGAAAAAGCAGCAGTTCCCTGTTGTAGTTCAGGCACAGTTATGAGCATGACGTTGTTGGATCAGCCCATTTACAATTCTATTTTGCATTAGAACAATAAATGTCGCCCCTTTGGGAATGGCCTAAAGACACTTCAGTCTGTAGCACTGCCCCCCCCTCCTTTTATTCCTACCCCCCGTTTATTCAATACCTTAGAGTAAACTTTACACCACAGACGGGTTGAGAACCTGAGAGGAGAAATATGTCGCACATAAACATAATATTGATAAATAAATAAAAAAAACAACGTGCATTTCATCAGCAACGAGTCAAACACATTATTATAATGTACAACAGACATAACTAAAATATCTGAAAGAAGGCAAAAAATCAACTTTATTAGAAAAGGTCATGAGACCCATAAATGAGGTGCATGTGATCATACTCAACACACAAATAAAAGTCAGCGGGTTTTTTTAAAATAGAATAATCATACATAATACATGAATTAAGTGATTTAAGAGAATAAAAAATCCACAGACGCATTGTATTGTTTGTAATAGCTAAATAAACACACAGAATAGATTTCAGAAACACGTCATGCAGTTGACTTATTCCGTAGACTTACATGTTCCTAGTTTTAAAAACTGTTTCAGTGTTGTATCAAAACGGCATAAAAAAAGAACAAACAATCTATGTCAATAATTCCTTTGCATTTGGTTGTCTGAAAGAGCTGCGGAGCTGGCCTACCATAGACAACTGCATCTCCCCTCGACGCTTAACGGCGCCAGAGGATGAAAAAGTGAGTAAAAGTATAATTTAGTTGTCATTTCCAGAGTTCAATCAAAATGTGATCAAAATCGTTATGGTATCATTAAAATTCTAGTCATTAGTGGCTACCAAATGTTTTAAAATACATTTTAAAAATAAAAATCTATAATAGAAATAGGACTTCTTTAAGTTACTTTCAGACAAACACATACACAGATTACAAAACTGGTTTTAACATTTTCAGCAAAACAATTATAATATTTTGTTTTTCAATTAGAAAGCTGCTATCACACTACAGTAATAATAAATGCTTGGTAAAATTGTTAAAAAAGGAGGGTTCAAATTTTAGAAAATCGAAAAGAAAAATACAACCATAGAATTCATTAATTAAATAAGAGGAAAACCAAAGTTACCAAAAATTATGAGTTATGCTTGGTATAAATCTCTTACCTCTTATTCATAGGAACAGGAACAACTGCTTGTTTTTGCTTGTTTTCTCATTCAGATTATAATCCAGGCGTAGATTGAACAGATACTAATAGATAGATAGCGTTTGTAGAGCGCAAATCCCCGCTCAACAGCAAGTTCTATGCGCTTCACAATCTATACTATTCCCTAGCAGACCAGAGAGCATTCTGAAACAAACTCAACTTCCTAGGAAGCATACAGTGCAAACAGCCATTAATATGCGCTAAAACACTAACATGCTGACAAGATCTTTCGCTGTCTATGGCTGGATACCCATTCCCACCTGGGTGAAGTGGGGGACAATTCGTGTAAAGTGCCTTTCCCAAGGACACAACGTCTGGTCTGGGGCTCAAACCCCCAAACCCGCAACCTCACGATTACGAGTCCGGTAGCCTAACCGACGCCACGATTGTGATCTAGAAACACAGTAGCATCATACTCATATTAGGAGGGGTTGGATACGTGAGGAGGTTTATTTCGAAACAGTTTATGAAATCTAAATAGCGAAATTAAAAGTTGTAATACATTTTGACAGAATAAAAATTCCTGGAAGGACAAATCGTACAAATTATTCGTGGTGAAATCAGGCGCTCGTCAAAATACAGAAATGGGAGAAACAGGTATTTCTATGCCAGTTTGGAAATTTTTACAAATTTTATATTTTTGGCTCAACCTCTTTTATGTCCATATAAAATCACATTTCCATGTGAATTTTACTGAAAAACATTGATTAATTAAAGGCACAAAGTATGTCATTTTTTTTGTTTTCAAAATCTCTTTAGCAATGAAGTTACCAAACTTTGGCGGCCATTTTCTCGCTAATTTTACCACTGAAACCAGGCGACATTAGTTCCTTCAAACTGCATATATCTTGAGTTCTATTCATGTTAGATGGATACATGAATCTATTTGAAATTTCATCAAACGCAAGGCACATAAATCAGCTTTCAGATTATACCAATAACTCCACATGCTCAAAAATTGACGAGCGCCTGAT